CGCTATACCGATATCATGTATTTACGAATTTGAAAACACTTTTCAATGCGAAAAATTAAAACCGCCTTTCTATCTCATCAAAATAGACGAGTTAATTTCCCAATTAGCAAAAGATATAACATGCTTCATTCCTTTTTAAAGTATAATTTAATCATGTAATGATTAAGAAGTTGGTTTCATTAAAAAATATTTCAGTAAATACATATAATTATATATATATATATAATTGCATCCGTGTCTCTTGATTTAATTTTTGCTGATTGTAGGCAAACGTTTCACACAAGTATAAAACATTAAATGTAATATATGTATAACAAGATTAAAAAATAAATAATAGATATGTAACATTAAATTGATAAAAATAATTCGAAACTTTCTTTAACCATCGCTTACCATCCGTACCGTTTACATGATGAATACCTGCATGATATTCGACTTGAAAATATTAACTTATGTAAAGATATATATGGCTTCTAGTGTAACTTGTTGGTGCGCGAACGACAAGTAACATGCTCTTATCCTACGCCGGATGGACGAGCCATCGGCTTGTTTGCTTGAAACGCGTCGAGAGTCACCGCGACGTATAGCGCATGCGCGAGCGCGGATAGTCTGGCGCCAGCAGGTGCGGCTAAATATAGCTTATGCAACGGTATCTTTCCCCGCTTACTCGCTTAACTCCCTCCGTCTTTTTCTGTTTGTCTCCTTCCCTCTGCTAGTTGAAAAAAACATGATTAATATATACATGATGTAAAAATATTTCATAAAATTTTAAATTTTTCAGCATTGTGCTAGACAGTCGATTTATCAGTTTGTTGAATTAATCTATTAGAATAATTGAAATAGTTTTGTTTCTCCACCTAACCTGACTTTAACCCAAACCTCAGACCTAGGTTAGGTCGGCGAAAAATATAAATATGTTCTTATATAAATTTATTTTTATCATTGTATTCTAACATATATATTCGCAAAACGATATTATTCTCGGTTTTTTAATACATAGACATAAATATAAAAAATAAATATATATGTACTCTAATCTTATAAATAAATAAATATAATAATCTTGCTTATATAATAAAAGAATATAAATAATTATTTTTCAAAATGTTATCTCGCTCCAGAAAAGATGGCAACTTTTACAACATATTTGAAGCGAAATGTTCCTATACATGTGTGTGTAAGAGTGTGTGTGTGTGTGGTGTGTTGAAGATAATAATTGAGATAATAATTAAGATGTTAGTAAAATAAAATCATAATTATAATAACATCATAGATATATTATTATTATATATTTATATTTTGTATACACAAGTACAGAGTAAGTAAAAAATAATAGGAGAGAAAATTGCACGCATCAATTCGATGTCTCACTTTTTCGCAACAAATAATAAATTGTTTAATTATTCATTTAATATCGATATCATATATATGTACACGCGCGCGCATACATACTCTTTTTATATTTTAAATACTATTATAAGCCTATGATTTACAAATCTGTCGACTCATTTGCGTATTTTAATACACGTCATTCATATGATACGACATATTGACCAATATACTTCATTTGCATGTCCAACAAACATGGAGTTTCAGTCGCGTATCTTGTGTCTTATAACACCCGACATTTCCATTCATTTACCGTCCTTTTTATTTTTCCCATTTCTGTGAAATCAAAGGTTTTATGGCATAGATATTGCATCGATACAATATATACATTGTATCGAAATTTTTTCGATAACTTTTTCAACCATTTTGAAGAATTTTTTCCAGTAACTCAACAAAAATCATAATATAATATACTAAAACGTTATTACTTTTTCACTACTTGCTTACTATGTACAATATGTTCAATAAGAGGAATCATAGCTTTTTTAATCAATTTAGAAATTATTCATTCTTTTTAAAAAATCTTTATTGCGCTCTTTCAATTTTATATCTTTTTAAATTTCTTTACTTTCAAATATATACACAAAATATTTTCGAAAAACATAATACAGATATTTTCTTTCGACTATAACTTCTTTGATTGAAAAATTGGACACAAATTTTTGTAGAAAAAAATAATAGCATTATTTATTTCGAGTCTTTTAATATTCTCTGAAAACGCACTAGATATTTTTTACTATATTTTATTATGCTTTTTCTAATTAATTTCTTTATTGAATTTCTTTATACATATACACATATATACTATAATATTTTTCTACAATATTACTACAATATTTGTTTAATAAGAAATAACTAAAAACTGGGAAAACATCTGATAATGCGATAAAAGTATTTTTATGACGAGTCTCATTCCGTTATATATTCCAATATTTCCAGTTTCATCAATTAATAATATCTTAATGCAATACATACACGCTTAGAGAATTTCAAGAATCTAGTTTCAGATATATATTACCGTTGTCAAACGGTATTCTATAGACATAATAATCCATAACTCGTACCAGAAAATATATTTTTTGTGTAACATATATATATATATATATATATATATATATATATATATATAATATGTGTGTAAATCTAAATACGACAAAAATAAAAAAAAAGAAAAATAATATATATTAACAATGTACGATATACATAATAAAAAAATTTTACGATTAAACGATATACATATCTTTTTAAGTGAAAAAGGGAACATGCGCGAAATGATTGAAGTATATCATTATATATTTAAAATAATTTACATAAAAAAATCATAATGTATATATATATATATATATATATATATATAAATTTTTTCTAAATAAAATATATATACAAAAAACTAAATTGTTGAAATCTATTTTTCGTTATTTATGTTACATCTCAGAAATTTTAAAGTAGGTAACATTTGATATTTTTAAAATCGACGTCAATGTTAAAATTATCAATATATTGATACAGATCGATTTTGGCTTGAACAAGTGTTTTTTGATATAGCTTATTGTGAATATCTCATTGAAAAAAATTCTAAGATAACAATATATACACGTTAACATTATACATTTACGTTTATTTGACTATTACTTTATATATTTAATTCTGTAATTGTAAAATTTATTTTTTTTTGACGATACGAAGAATTACAATGAGAAAAATGATGAGGAAAAGTTATGTTTATGTTATCATAACATTTTTCTTTGAAAAAAAATTAATTTGACCAACACATTGCAAATAAAATTTATTTGTAATTATATTTAGTAGATGCAACCATTTTTTAAAGATACGTATTAATACTATTATGCATTATCAGTCTGCAACTACTAGCATAAAGAGATTCGATCGCTGATACGATTGTTAGTTGTTTGATATCACCTGCAAGTATTGAGCTACTTATTACTTATCTTCGTATAGCTTTGTTTAATTTACAAATTACAAAAAAAGTTTTTATTCAGTTTATCAATCTTTTTTATTCAGAAATAACTCTCTTTATATAATTATTTTTATATTACAAAAGATATGCAGAGAACTGCGCGTGTGTGCAAAATACTTATTAATATTTATAATTAATATTTGAAATTCATTAATTTTTGTCATGAACAAAATACACAATTTTATATACGATAATTGAATGCTTGTTTTTTATATTATTATATTGATTTAATACTTAAAAAAATTTAATATGTCTAAATACATATAATATTATCACGCGCATGTTTTTACTTATATGTATATCTTAAAAGTCATTTTGATGCGGCGACCAGTTCAGAACTCGCTTTCACGAATATCACTATGACGACACCTGCATATAAATGCAGGCATCGTCCATTGGATTTTTGTTCGGATTTAATATTTCAGCTGCTAGAGCAGAACAGAAAGAGTAAATGTTATTATTTTATATTTTTATATTTAGGGATATTTGCCTAATTTTTTTACTAATTTTACTTTAGTATCGGAATTTCTTTTTTCACATATATATGTATTATGAATTAATATAAACATGCTTGTTTTATAAGCATAAGTATAATAATTCTTTTCAAATTTTTATTAATTATACATATAAGCGTGTCTTTTTATTTATAAATTATGTTCATTAATTAATTAATTTTCTATTTATTTTCTAGTAATTTTGATAAGATTTAAATTAATAAACTAGAACCAGATCCAGAAACGAAGGATAAGGAGAAGCTAGCAGAGTACAAGAAAATGTAGTTAAAAGGAGAAGAATTTACGAAGAGAGAGCAAAGATCGCGTTCCACGTGGTCGCAAAATGGCTGCCGAAAGACGTACGGAGTATCTGTTCACATCTTACCGGGCAGCATTAGATTGAAATTGAAACTTCTAATACTGTCAGGTAAAGATGTCGTCAGGATTCCGAAGACAACGATAGAAACGGATTCATCATCAAATAGAATAAAAATTTTGTGGCGTCATGTAGGACATCAAATTTTGCGATTTATTTTTTTTTAATAGCATTTATAAGAAATTTTAATGAATGAATTAATATAAATAATGTTTCTTATGAATATAAATAAATGTAGACAAAAATTGTAAAAATTATTCATTATGAAATATGTAACAAAGTATATTTAAGAATATATATACGAAGAAACATCCACACATATATATATATATATATATATATATATATATATATATATATTGTATACAAAGAGAAACAAAAATCTTTCAATGGAATAACAAATAAAAATAATATGTTCTTTCGTTTTTTATAATTAGTTAGTTTAATAGTATTTGTGTGGATGTGACTAAAATCTATTTGCTTTTCCGAAAAAGTTACAAAAAAAACCTCGAATAATCCGCGATGAGTGAATTCTAATATAAAAATAGAAACAATCTTCGAAAGTTTTCCTGCGAGAGTGAACCGAAAATTTATATATTGAATAGTTCGAAAAAAATTGTTTTATAAATATTAAATAGAAATAATTATGGTGACAAATAAAATAAAATTAAAACTATTACATTTTGTGTTTTTATTATATAATGATCCACTATTAATTTATATAGTCCATTAAATTTGTTATATAACTGATATCAAATTTATGAGAATAAAATATCAAAAAGATTGGAAGTGAAAATAAAAGAAAATAGTAAATGTACAATTAAGAGAGTTCTATTTGTTTCTGTCTGAAATATCTGATGTGATAATTATAATCTTCAGAATCTATAGTCCACATTAATGCCATGTATATCGTTAATACTGTGGCCAATAATAATCGATCTATACTGTAAAAAGAAATTATATTCATTAATGTAAAGTTATTTAATTCTCAATCATTAATTTATTGCACTTTTAAATGCACTAGTAATGAATATTTACATGACTATTAACATATATTTAAAAGACAATTATAGTAAAATTATAAGAATATCAAAATAATAATATAATTATTAGTAAAAATAATAATATAATAATTAGTTTAATAAGTTATTAATATATATAAATTCCAGTATATATTTAAATAAAAAATATTTTTGACAAAATACATATGTATGTGCGACATACATACACATGTACATACATACATACATATATATATACATATATAATGTATATAAAATTGCAAGAAAATATTTAATAAAAATATGTTCTTCCTTTATTCTCTATTTTTGCACTTCAAACTTTTTATTCTTATATTTTGTATATATGTTTATTGATATATTTTGCGTATATGTTAGTGATATATGTATATTTTTATATATATGTACATGCATATATGCACACATAGATATATTTTAAAATTTTACAATAAAATCTTTGATCTTTTATTATGTTTTGTTGTTATTTTTTATTATGTTGTTATTTATATTCTCCCTTTCAATTTTCTATTCTTGTATTTTACTTATATTTTACTTATATATTTAATTTTAATTTATTTATATATATTATATATATTATATATATATATATATAATATATATATAATTCTCTTCTATAATTACAAAAACAAATGCAAAAGATGAAATTTGATTTCATAGAATTTTACCTCATGAAAGGATAGACCCATAAAATGGCGAGAAATCCAATGAAACTAGGATGCCTCATATGTCTCATATATCTGCATAGCTCTCTAGATTTTATATCCATTGGATTATTTCTTCCAGATACTTTGTACCAAACTTGTTTGAGGCCACATAAGTCTGCAATGTCCATCATGATACAGCCACTGTAAATAATGCACCAAAAAAATACATGGAGACCAGAAAATAGCATCCAGATTATATCATTGGAAGTTTCAATCCTCCAGATTGTTAGAGCAGGAGATTGCTGCCATTTATTAATCAGGAAATGAAGACTTGCAGAACTGCAAGCATTGTAAATACTCCTGCTGAGATACTCAATACGTAGGTTAAAAAAAATATGCTTAGTAAGATCATTAGCCATAATGGAGTGTTGAAAGATGAAAATTGTAAGAAGTGACACGTCTATTAGGAGAGACCACAGAGTAGACTGTATTCCATTACCATCTGGAAAGAAATAAAATTATATTTAATTGTTTAATTTTACAAAAAATATTAATAACAAAAAATGTATTTCTAAAAATAACAAGTGTGTTTGTATATAAATATATACTGAAAAAAAAAAAAAAAATATATATATATATAAGAATTTATTTTTCAATTGTTTTGCATAGCAATTTATATTAATAACAAAAGCAATTAATAAAAAAAGATATAAAATCTTACCAGGTGAGACTTTACCTGATATCACACGAAGATTTTCATTTTTACTACTATGACTTGATAAGAAATAGGTTAAGTTACATAAAATGTAGCAAGTATACATAAAACTTGAGGCGCACACAGTTATACTTAATACATTTAGAATCATTTTCGAGAGAGATATGTGATATAAATAAGTCAGAACGCATAGAATTTATGTTATAAAAATATTCTATTTTTAAATATTCTACTTCAATATCTATTTTTTGTACATTTAATGTACTTTATTATGTTATTTTGTCACGAAAACACATACATTTTTTGTAAATAAACACAAATCCGATTTATATCGGATAATATAATAAATAAATCCGCTTTACATAAATGTGTACATCATTTTACGTCAATTTAGCCTTTACATGATGAACACTATGGGCATACATAAATATCTAGATACAATGTATCCAATCCGAAAATGGCCACGTTTAGTAGAACAACTGCTGCGTTGTCGTTTTGTCAACACTCGACGTTTATTTGTCCATTCTAAAAATAAGAGCCAATCACGTTCGATGGCTGCATTTAGCGGACTTACCAGTTGAATATTCCTAGATTTTCCGATGTATTTCGACGCTGAATGGTCGGATCTGAAAGTAGAAATCAATCATGTTTGATTGGCCACATTCAGCGGACTCAACAGTTGGGCAACATTACTAGATTTTCCGATGCAACTCGACGCTGATTGGTCGGACCTGAAAGTAGAGATCATATTCGATTGCTACTTAGCGATTGAGTCCGCTGAATACGGCCATTGTTACTTAGCGATTGAGTTGCTAAATGCGACCATCAAACGTGATTGGCTCTTATTTTTAGAATCTGCAAATAACAAATTGACCATCGGAAGAAAAAAGTTTTAGTTTCTTTTATGTTTCCGATTGGTTAAATTTCAACTTTTAATTTTCAATACATATGGCGTTTTCAAATGGTCGCGTTTAATCGGGATAATTTATTAGACGTTTAAATCTTTGCACGTACAAAATTTTAAGGAAGCATCTCGTTTGATCACGTTGCGATTGACCACAGCCAATTATATCGATCTGTGCCTAGGATAACCAGCAACGATTGACGAATCAGAGAGTCCTATTTTCTGTAGAATGTATATTCTTCAGAAGAAGAACTGTGGTTGGTTAATGATGTAGTTTAGTAAACTATTCCGGATAAATCAAGGCTGCGTTCCAAAATTCATTGCCAGTACTGAAAAAATCTATAGTTTACGTGATGTACACTATAGATTTTCAGTTACTGTGAATTTTGGAACACAGCCCAAATCTGACCATTCGAAAACGCCATATATATCTTATATGTTTATAGCCTATGCTAATGTAGATGGCCATATGATTTACCTATAATCTACATTTTATATCAAATGTAAAGGGTATTTACTTGCTCGATTAATTAAATTAGTTTAATTAAATAAAAATGGTAAGTGTCTTAATGCGTATTGAAAAATTCGTTTTTATCAGATACTCGTAGGTTAGAATAGCAGATTCAAGTAAGGATTTATTCTATATAATATTCTATATAATATTCCATATAATTGCAGCCGAAGAGAAAAACAAAGAGATTTATCGACAAGAAAAATTCTGTTACGTTCCATCTGGTCCATCGATCGCAAAAGGATCCGTTAGTGGCAGATGAAACGGCACCGCAAAGAGTTCTCGTACCAGTTGGTGAGGTACACGAGGCAAAAACAGAAAGAAAGACAGTAGACAGTGAAAAGCGTAAAGAGGAACAGCAAAAGTATGGTATATACTTTGATGATGACTACAATTATTTACAACACCTTAGAGATGTTAACACGTTGTCGGTTGAATGGCAACGCATTGAGAATACTAATCATAGCAAATGTGACAAAGATGCTCCAAAAATTAACTTACCATCCTCCGTTTTTGCATCAAATGTTGAGGAAAAAGTTGGTATGCTCAATAAAGCGGCACCAGTCTCTGGACCACAATTGGATCTTGATCCAGATGTGGTTGCTGCCATGGATGATGATTTTGATTTTGACGATCCTGAAAATCAGTTGGAGGATAATTTTATAGAAATGGCTAACGCTGGAAGTAGTGATAGTGAGAATTCTGACAGAGAATATGGTAAGTTTTTTTAAATTGAATAGTAATATCTCTTGTATTTATCTGACATTTGCAAATTTTATATTTTTAGAATATGAATTGGGTGAATCGGGAAATGAATATAATGAATCTGATGTTTCCTCCGAGGGTAACATGAATTTAGCTGACGAGGAGGCAGACGAAGTACATAGCATAAATGGACCTCAATATACTTTCAAAGAAGAAGAAATAAAATCGAGATTTACAGAATATTCTATGAGTAGTAGCGTGATGAGACGAAATGAACAACTTACGTTATTGGATGATAAATTTGAACAGGTTTAAATTTTTATTTTTTCAATATATTACAATGTTATTATTGATGTGTTTTAATTTCTTTTTATTTATAATTACATAGATGTATGGTGCATACGATGAAAATGAAATTGGTGCTTTAGATTGCGATGAAATCGAAGGATACGTAGCGCATGATTCGGATCTTATTTTACAATATGCTGTTGAGTTTGAGAAAAAACAGAAAGAAGATGTAAGTATAATGTAGAGTACAATGAAAAATATACTAATTTTCTTTGTATTTATAGACGGAGAATATTGCGGAGCTTATGAAAGATAGAATGAAAATTGTGGAAACAGAGAAAGAATATTCGAGTTCGGAAGATAATGATTTAGAACAACTCATTGTCGATGCTCGTGAGAAGGATAAATGGGATTGCGAAAGTATTCTTAGCACATATAGTAATATTTACAATCACCCTAAATTAATTCCAGATCCTCCAAAGGTAAATTATTTTATTACATATATTATAATGCTTAGATTATTTTATTAAATATATAATACTTATAACTCACATTTATTTTACTAAGAAATATGGTACGAATATATAATTATGTATACAATCTTTAACTAAATTTCTGAAAGCTTTATGTGTTTTTAATAGTGTTCAAAAAAGATTGAAATTGATCGAAAAACTGGTGTCCCAAAAAATGTATTAGGCAACACTGGAAAATTAACAGCCGAGGCATTAGCTCAATTTGATGCGACAGATAATATATTAAAAAGTTCACAATCCATTGCAGAAAGTAGAAAATCCACCTTAAGCATTTTAAGCACACGACCTAAAGGAGAAACTTCCGACGCGAGGAAAGAAAGAAAAAAATTACTCAAAGAATACAGAAAAGTATGTAGTATATTGTTAAATTAAGTTTTATTTACACATTATGTAATTTTTATAATTTTAGGAAAGAAGGATAGAACGAAAAGCAAATACAGAGGCATTTAAAGAGGAAAAGAAGTGTCAAGAAAAAATTAGATTGAATAACAAACAAAACATTCACGGAAATCGCATGTTATAAAACATTCTGTAGAATTTTTTTATAATATGGAAAGATGTCATAATTTTGTTTTTATGCAATATATATATGTATAATTTATTATAAAACTATATATATATATATAATTTTTCTGTATATCTATACCAATTTCTAAATTCTAATACATATCGTAAACATTACATTGTTATAATTGAAAAAGAGAGAAAACCTTGCTCTCTTTCATATCATATTTAAAATTTTATCTCTCGAATTGTATCGATAATATAATCGAACGATGTTGTAACCAGATTTGAAAAGTCGTTAGAATTCGCTTTTGTATTTGTTAGATTAGTACTCTGAATCTTGAATCGGATAGCGATGTGAGTTTAAATAGAGATGAAGCGCGTAGAGTAGCAACGACATGATCGTAAATAAAGAATTGCAGCAACCATGAACATCTAACCACGTGAGAGATCACGAGACGACGCGCGACGAAGCGCTGTTGTAAGGCGAGGCAGAGGGCGGAAGCTCCAAAGTCATATGATCGATTCGTGATCGTTTAGCTCTCGCCGTTTGCCGTTTGCCGTTTTGCTCTCCGCACGTCGCAAAGATGGCCAGCCAGACGCAGGGTATTCAACAGCTTTTGACCGCCGAAAAGCGCGCTGCCGAGAAGGTCTCGGATGCTAGAAAACGTGAGTGTATTTCCGTCGAAATAGCCCGGGACGCGACATTCGATCGCTCCGTCACGAGGCTGTAACCCCTTTCCTTCGGTCGTGATGTTAAATCTTGTCGAAAACGATACGTCTGACGAATTTTTGTCATTTAACTCGGGACGATGCCGCGAAACGTGTAGAGAGTAAATTTTAATTGCAATTTAATTTATGCACGATTGCGATTTTGCAGCGAGAACAATTTTGGTTAACCTACGCGCGATCTGTTTGTATCATTATAACGAGTATCATATTCGCCAAGTTTTGCTTAAATTTTCATAATTTTTTTCTCGAGTGCTTAATTTTATTTAGTAGAGATTTTTCTTCTTTGCTTATTCGGTATATTTTATCTTGATGATTGTTGAATTTTTCTAGGAACTCTCTCTCTCTCTCTCTCTCTCTCTCTCTCTCTCTCTCTCTCTCTCTCTCTCTCTCTCTCTCTCTCTCTCTCTCTCTCTCTCTCTCTCTCTCTCTCTCTCTCTCTTTCTTTCTGATCTGACAATATCTGTAATAATATCTGTAATAATATCTAATAAAAAAGTGTTAAAATAGAATTATAAAAATTTGTATACATTTTATATAAATTTGGAAAAAATCCTGAATATAATTGTAATTTTCTTTATAGGTAAAGCACGTCGTCTGAAGCAGGCTAAAGAAGAAGCTCAGGATGAAATTGAGAAATATCGACAGGAACGTGAAAAACAATTTCGTGAATTTGAAGCCAAAGTTAGTATTCCTCGCTAGTTTATACTTACATTGATGTTTATTATTACATTTACATCATATTAAATTTATATCAATATTCAATTACCAATTTAATCATAATGTTATAGCATATGGGTTCAAAAGAAGACGTAGCTGCACGCATCGAGGCAGATACACGACTCAAAATAGAAGAAATGAATCAGACTGTTGCTGTGCATAAAAACATGGTAAGTGTACACACTGTAGATAATACATATTATAAATTTAATTAATAAAGACAATTATATATAGATAGATAATTGTATATATGAGAAATTATAATATTTATTTTCTTGTTTTCTCTTATAATTTAGGTTATGCTTAAGATTTTGGATTTGGTGTATGATATCAAACCGGAATTGCACAACAATTATCGCATTGAGGTCTAAGCTTCAGAAATTGTATCTAGTAGTTTTAAGTAATATAATATAATATATATATATATATATATATATATATATATATACACATACATACATACTATATATAAATATATACATTAAATATTACTGTTCGCTTACACTGTATCTTAATAACATATTTATCGCTGTTATATCGTATGACATGTTATATTTTATTGGAGTAACTGCATATAAATGTAGTTTTAGATAGCGATACTCAAACTACTACTAAAATCTTTTCTGCAGTTGTTACACGACAATAAATGTCTCCATATTGTTATTATCGCTGAGCCTTTTTGTCGGCACGTGTTTGAATAGTTTGAGAATTGCTGTAATGTATTTGCATCAAAATAAAAAGAAAAAATAATATAAATAAAGTATCATTCGATGTGTCATGGCCTAGACACATCGGAAAGATATATTATCGTTAAGATAGATATGGCTAAAGTGATTTAAGGTGATGGTAAAGAATTCTATGTTGTAAATGTTTATCATTAGACGTCATTCCATGATTTCTGTCGCATCGAGGACGTAAAACACATTTTCATCAAAGATTTTCAGAACAAGATTTTCTTCTACAACTTTTCGCGGTTTACGGACGCGCTCCCAGTCGAGTGAACCACGTAATGTTGTAGCAACATTTAAACTTGTTTTAAAGTGTCTATTGAACTTATGTAATGAGTAACTTTGTCTCATATATATGTATATACACACATGCGCATATACCCTATCTATGTAAGTTGATTGGTTGTCTGTATAGTGCCCAAAATAAAAAATAAAAAAAAGAACATTAAAAGCCTAAAATATTATATTTTCATTTTATATTTTCATTTTTGTAGAAACTATTATTTTTAAATAGACAATTTTATATACATAGAAGGATGAGAATACATACATAATGCGTATATATATGTATTATAATTTTTTAATGTATATAATTTAATATGAATAAATAAGCAAGAAATAAGAAGGAACTTGTATATTCAAAGTAATGGAATATATACAAGATATTTAAATATTTACAATACATTTTATATATTGTGCATGGAAAAATGGATTTTGTGTATATATAATAGTAAAATTCTTGTATTTATCGATTTTATTTTTAAATTCGATTTATAGTTGTATTCATATATTATCGGTCTTGTTTTTTCGCTTGTATATATGGGCGTTTTTCCGCAACCGAATAAGTATCTTGTTCGGTTTCTTTCGGGTAAGTTCGGTTCGACTGTATACTCGATTGGTAAAGATAATGTTCGGAATCGCGTCGGCGCAAATCAACGAAAGTTACCTTACCATAAATCTTGGCCTCATTAAAGAATAGTCTTCATCTATGTATTTTATAGGCTTATGGTTGAACGCGCCGCGTCAAAGTGCACGCGATCATGTCGCGCATACGTCACCGACGAAGCACGCGCGCTACGCGTTGCGCGCTGTGCGTCGTCGCGACGATCAGCTGTGCGCACCTAACCTCCTCTCACCTTCACTCGGCGCGCCGCGCTCCCGAACGACAGTCCGACCGTCCGACGTCCGATAGTACGCGTTTCATTTTGTGTGTCTTGTATCCAATGTTGTTGAGCACTCGGCGCTAGCGCCACCCGATAGAGAGCGGCCGGAATTGCGATTCGATTTCGTGAACTAAGCCGCGACAGCGAAGAGCGGTGTCAGTGCGTGTGCCATTTCGCGCCGAGAAATGGAAGTTGACGAGACGCGTTCGTACTCCGATACAAGAGTGAGCACGTTGCCGATATTGCGTGTAATCGTGCGCGAGCTCGTCGCGGTGACAGCTGTGCGCGTACTTGTTTTTTGAAGCTCTTGTTATGACAAAGAAGATATCACCGGGCACGACCGGTCACCGACCAGCCGCGTATCCGGCCGAAAGATTGTTGTCATCGTCGCCGTTGTGTAAGTATCGTGCACGTCGCGTATAAAAGTGTTTAGTTGGGTCTTCCGTTCCCTTGCGAGAAGGAATTGCCGGCGAGGAATTAATACGAGAATTCAAAAGTCATCGAGGAAAGAGTGATCGAAGCAAAGATGTGGTGTCTTGTCAGTCAAGCCAATTCTGTCATCCTCGAGGTGCAGGTCGATCCGAAGGCCATCGGCCAAGAATGTCTCGAAAAGGTAAGCGTGTACTTTTATCCTTGTCGATAATCAACACATTGGTCCCGTCTATACGTCAATCATAGAAGTTTAGCTCCAGTTTTATTCGCTTATACTCGAGGACCGTATGTTCGATGTAAACATGGAATATAATTTTAATTAGTTTTCGCATATTTTTAACGCGCACACCTCTTGCATTCACACTGTCCACAATATTCATATTAATAACAAATCAATTTGCCATTGAGGACAAATATGAATTGCTTATCTTTTAATTACTACGTAAGTTGCATGTACAATTCAGATTTTCGTATCAAGCTTGAATTCTCTTCAATTTATTCACGAGAAAATCTGATCACACGTTTGTTTTTAATTGAAATCGGTTATATAGTAATTTATTTGTGACGCTAAAGACATTAATAAAAGTTAGATATATATATATATATATATATATATATATATATATATATAACTTGTAAATATATAATATACACATAGATAATGATTTATTTCAATGAGATAACTTTTAATTAGCAACTTTCGAAGTAAGAAGTTTATTTTTTTCCAAAAAGGAAAAAGGTAATTATATAATTCATTTAGCAAGTTTGTATATGAAAATAAACTAACTCTTTGTCGATACGAATCTGTATGATTCATAGTATAAACTTATCACCCTGAAGACTTTAAGTGTGATTCAAACCGAGACAATCGTGCACGCTGTAACTCGAAAAGATTGGAACCTTATATTGTATAATATATATCATAGTATAGCAAGATTCGCGATTCATATATGAAAGCGTATAATGACAGGTATAATGATAATTCAAGTTTTCACCTTGGAGAGAGTCGGGACTTTTAATTTGCGAAAAATTGATGTCATAATTTTGCATTAATTTATCTCATTTTAGATGTGAATAAATAAGTAGATTAGATTTCTCTGGAATTTGTTGACATTTTTAATGAATACAAAATTATCTGAAAAACAATTTTTTTAATTGCACTGTGTTTCTTCGATGATTTCTGCGAATCCACGTAGAATGAATCTGATCTCTAACGCGTTGATATTGGTTTAGATGAGTGTACATACAGCGATTTATGAAAAAAATACCTTTTGCACATGGATAAAATTTAAATTGCATAAATACCGTAAGCGTGTGCATTCACGATTTTCATTTCAAAACATTTTCGACTCTCATCAGCGATTTATTGCTTTCTTTTTTATACTTCATAGTAATATATATCGTGTATATATATATATATATATATATATATATATATATATATAGTTGTTTTTACATTAATTTAAAAAAGTTACGTACAATAGATCCTGTAAACATAAAATATGCTTACATCATAGTATAATACTATCTAGGAAACTATCGTAATATGCTGTATATTGATTTAGTTTGTTCTTAGAAAAGTAGTCTTATATGAAGATTGAACATATTTATTTTTCTATTTACAAATATTTATAATGATAAATTTGTTGAGAAGTCATGCATATATGTCTGTGTGTGTATATATGGGGAAGAGATAAGATAATAAAGGAAAAAGAAAGCTTTTATTTACACACACATGCTCACACACATATTAGGATGTTATAGTAGAAATGTTTAATTTATTATATATATATATATATATATATATATATATATAATTATTAAGAGTTAGTTTATCATACACACATAAAAAGATCCTATATATATATATATATTTTTTTTTTTTTTTTACATTTTAATAGTAGCTTATGAGTGTACCTTGGCCTAGGTCATAATTTTCATGTGCGCAACAGATGCTACGAAAACACATGGCCAGCATGAATTTTAGTTTGACGTTAAAATATCGTTGGTAGCTTCAAAGCAGGTTCAAAGGTTTTTTGAAAAATCCATTTCTGTAATTCTATCTACTTCTTCGTAAAAAATTTGCCATTGCGTGATTTGTATATTTTTTAATGGCAGATAAAAATAGAGAAATAGACAATTAATGAATGGCCATAGTTATTTATAGTTATAATTTACAAAATGTAAATTATCATATATATAAACTGTTTGTTACTAGTTTAATATTATATTCCTCTCTTTTTTCTCTTATTAAATTTATAGTTTTAAATTGCTATATATAATACGTTTGTATATATGTGAGTAATACGTTTGAATAAATAAATATTCATTATTTATTGACATAATAAATATATTTTTGCATTGATAAAAGATTAATGCTACGTTATATATTTATATATACTAAAGCTCGAATATTACATAATTTATTTTCGCGGTGATTATTCCGATTTATCCTGGATTAATGATTAATTTAGATATTGATGACTTTTACGCTAATCTGTTTTTCAACGGCATAATCGTGACCCAGCGGCCACACTACCATTTGCGTTTTATATATTGTTGTATACGCGTCGCATGTAGAGGAAGAACCGGTTATCACGAAAATAACTTCGAAGATTGGAATAGGCTGAAAATAATCTCCAGTGTTCCTTCGTGTGCATCATGCATTCGTATCAAGTGCTCGTTCTCTTTCATTTGAACAATTTAACCAGATAATTTTGTATGTTTCTATAGTATATTTTGTATGTTCGCGCACAATTGATGATGATGTGCATGATTTGAAAATTACAATGTTTCAGTATAAAAAAATTTTGTTTAATTATGTGGAAAACAATCATCTCTCCCTCTTCTATTTATTGAACGAGCGAATTTCACGGATCTTATTTTGATTATCAATTGACATCTGGTTGTTGCTGCATAATTTTTGAAAGATAAATAAATATTTTGTCATAAAAAGCAAAATTTTCAGCATCTTTCCCACAATATTATCTTTCTTATAATGATAAAATACTATAATATCATTATAACTCTAATAACCATATTTACTTGGCACAATTCGGAGTTATCCAAATTATTAATTAGTGGGTTGCCACGAAACAAACGTGCGTAATTTTTAACAAATGCAAAAAATACCATTTATTTAAACGGTATAATTGCATAAATTATGCAAATTGTATGCAACTACTTACGCTAATCAAACAGAATTGTGCTATTCACCAAAACTTGTTTAATCGGCGTTTGTTAATCTTTGTTGAAGATTGTATTGTAATAAATAGATTAGCGTGTTCCAAATGAAAGAATATGATGGAAAACTATCGGCAGCAGTGTCTACTATTACATGTTAATTCCCATTATGCTCATTGAGTGTAAGTAGATTAGAGGGCCTAAATAAATTGTAATTTTACTGATCAATGCATTAATAATTCTTTCCATTTGCAAAATTCTTACATGTGTGCGTTTTTCGCGCACAGTCGACAAATCGCGGCTCTGATGGTATTACGTTACTTTCGAAATGAAACGTGTACAAATACAAGTTAATCTTCTCTCTTGCCTATTATATACCTACAAGAATATAATTGCGTAAAAAATTTTGCAAAATTATTATACACACATACGGACGCGCGCGCATGTACGAGATATTTCTTTAAATATTATTACAAATTAATTAAGAATTGTGAACGATTCTTTTTATTGCTAGATGCAGTGCGTCTGCAATTGTTTTTATGAACGGAAAAATTTATATCTTTAATCAAAAATTCATTCTTAAAAGTTTACATGATATATTTTTAACTCATGGATATATTTTCTTATATATATATATATATATATATATATATATATATATTGATATAAATGTCTGTATGAAGCTTGTTACATGCGTGCGCGCGCATGTGGAAGATATCCCATCATGATATCCATCATTTTAATAATTCATTTCCGTTATTCCCTTTCGCAAAATATCACACACAGACACACACACAGCATTTATTTATTTGAAAAACGATACGTTTGAAATTTTCTCATGCCTATCGGTGGCGTTGCGTTACATCACTATGGAAATTAGGTCAAAATTGGCCGGAATTCAATCCGGGAATCCAATTTGCTGTCGTCTTTGTGCTCCGCGGAGTCAATCCGATCGACGCGCGCGCATGAGGCAGACGTTTTCAAGATCTAATTTGCGTTTACCAGGAGTCTATTTCCCGCTCTGTTCGCGTCATGCAAGGTAAGAGAGAATGCGAGCGAATATCTAAATTGTCCTCAGTCTTATACGCACGACGTTGTAAGATCGCTCTCTCTTTATATATGATAAAGCGATTCTTTTTTTCATATTTTTTTGCGTCTGATTTCTCACAATTCCAATTGACATTGTATGTGCAAAGAATTTTATTCATTTCATCCGATCACGATTAACATTTATATTTCTCGACCAATTTGAAATTGAATTTAATTTTGATTTTATAAACAATTAATTTTTCAATTATATTAAAGGCCAATTATAAGTGAAAAATAGAATAATTTTTTATGATATAATATATGTTATACACAAAATATATATTTAATGTAATCATTTTGTATTTAACAAATACTAGAACTATACTTGTGTCAGCTAACTATATTTCGTCAAATCATAATAATATCTTAATAATAAGATGAATTTGCATTCAATATCGTGCAATTTAAATATCCGATGACGAATATGGCAGCGCGCTTACATACATTCATATATGTATGCAGGACTCGTGCTGTATATTATTCAACTTTCTATGTTAGAATATTAAAACTTGCTTGTTTTCTTGTTATTCATAGAGAAAAGTCACAAAGATTTTAATTTGTAATATTTTAATAGCGATACGCACAACTGTCAAATTTCTTTAAATATTTTAAACGCATATATAGAAAATACTATTTGCGATCACAATCAAATCCGAACAATTGCATGTTTACATTTATTCGTTGTAACCTCTACTAGGAATATTATTTCTTTAATTTTACTTCATCAATATAGGAAAGAGAAACAGAAGGGAGGAGGAGAAAGAATATGGACACTTCATTAAATAAATTTTTAATTGTGAAATAAACTAAAAATGAATGTTGAGATATCTTGAAATTAAATAATAATTGCGAGTCGTAAACACGATTTTTATTTTTATGATTTTGGGCAGTTGACAATTCTCTTAAAAC